CTTTTTTCCCTCTTTTATATATATATATATATATATATATATATATATATATATATATATATATATATATTCTTATACAAAGTTTCAAAAAATTTATGTTAAATGTTAATAATTTGCACTTTTAATATAGTTCTTTACCTTTACATTCTAGTTTGATTGATAGTTTTTTTTTGTTTACTGTAAGAATCCATTTCGTATTAAAATACATATTTTTAATTGAGTCCTTAAATTATTCATCACTATTTGATTCAATTATCATCAATATATTTTGGTAAATAATAGATTTCTCAAACGACAATTGATTTGATAGTGTTACATTGAAAATGTGGTCTCCGGAATATGTTTGGTAGTGTATGTCTTATATTTAAGAAAAACCCGACAAATAACCGAAAAAAATGAAAAACCAACATAAACCGAATCGAGAAAAACCGACTTAATTGGTTTAGTTTGGTTCTAATATTTAAAAAATCAACTTACTTGGTTTGGTTATTTTTTAGGGAAAAACCGATTCAAACCGAACCATGAACACCTCTAGGTGGAGCTATATATAGTTTGGTATTTTCCTAGGTAATTTAAAGTCCAAATTGGCCCGATGATTTTACTTTGTAAAAATTACACGAGGCGCCCTATTTGGTTGTCCATTTAACATATACCTATTTTTTAAAAAACTTTTAACTTATACCCACTTTTTAAGCAACTTCATCCCCTTTCTCCTCCTCAAAGTTATATCCGCCCTCGACCTCTTTCTGAAGTCCGTGACTAAAGGTCCTTGCTTGATTGAACGGTTGCAATAGATGATGTGTTAAATGACTAAGCTATAGATCCTATTTGATAATGCATGGCATTAGCAGCAACATATTGGTTTATGTAAATTGTTAAAAAGTTTCTTGCTTTATCAAATATCGATTAACAGTTCCTTTGGATGATTTAGTTGTTGAACTAATCATCTAAATAATTGGTCCAATTAGAGAGTTATAAGACGAGGTATCCTTGCTATTGAATGCTTTATGTGACCGTAAAGCAGCTATTTTCATGTTTTCGTGACAGTATCATTATGAAGGGAAGAAGACTCTAGAGCTGAAGTTCGCCAGTTACAAACAAAAATTTAGTCAGTTACAATCAAACAGTTACAAAACAAAACTTCAGCAATTACAAACAAAAACTTCAGCACACTTTCTACTTCAGTCCCGTTTACTAGAATGCTGAAGTTTTGCGTTACTTCAGCCCTGTATGCTGAAGTTACGCGAAAAAATGGGTATACTTGCAATTTTCTTTGCAAAGCGGGCACAAATTAAAACGTGACCCAAAAAGCGGGTATAGATGCAAATTCTTTATAATAAAATGTATTTTGGAGCCTTTTGAAAAAGTGTTTTTGAGAAAGAAATTTAAGGAAAATTTAAAGAAAATAAATATGTAATTTCAAAGGTTATAATAGTACTTATTAGTTGTTTTGAGTATTTTGTCAATGTCAAAAGTGCCTTTACAAAAAATTATAATTTTACTGTTGTTTCAAGTTTCTTTCTTAATAAATTTATCTATTATAAAAAATAAATTTTCATACAAACATCAACTTATGTATAAAGCCAAATGTTAAAGAATTGACCTTATTTATTTTCTACTGAAGCTCGAATTAGTGATATTCTATTGGATACAAATCTAGCTCGAATAAGTGATATAGTAGTTTTGTTGAACTTTGGCTCCGACTAACCTTGATCCAAAATTATAGTGAGCTCATATATGCTTTTTTCGAGCTCACTTAACGAAGTTTGGATTTTTAGTATCCGCTCAAGGACTCGATTAATTTATTTTCGCGTCGAAATTAAAATAATTCCAATTAAAAATAATATTCATTCTAAAAATTCGAACTCAATAGCCTTAAATAAAAATAAAGATTCGAAATTCCACCATAATATCTAAGGGTCATTAGACTGATAGACTCAATGCCCAGATTGGATGGAAAGAGTAACAAACAAAATTTCCAAGTAAATGAAAAATAAAAATAAGAAAAAAAGGAGGTTGTAATAGGGAAAAATAACACGAGGGATTGTTGTATACCTGCGTTTTAACCTTAGCCTGCAGTATTGACGCCACCAAAACAAGCTGAGAGGTGACCATCTTTCCAGGCGCCTCCTCTATGCCTTCAACCCTAGAACAACCCCTTCACTGACATCTCTACTACAACCAATCCATCACTTATCTTCAAAATCGGGAAAAACTTTCACCTTCACTATACTGTAATAGTGAAATGGTATGACTAAAAACCGGCTTTTAATCCTAAGATCGATTTGGACACTACGATCGGCGACCGGAGATAATGCCCTTGTGGGTTCAACGGGTGTCCAATATTTCCCTCATTGCTCGTTTTCATACTTCAAAATCTCTCCCTTCATACGGTCCCGAAGCGATTTGGTTCACTAAAGTTGTATGTCTCCTCTGTTTTCACCATTCTCAGTCTCTTGATGTATTCACTTCTGATTATTTTCGTCAGAATTTGGACCCTCATATTGCTTTCAACGTTATTCACCATATTAATACCAATTTGAATAACCCCAGATTGGCATTTAATTTTTTTAAACACACTAGGGTTAATTTGAATCTTGTTCATTGTATTGGCACTTTTAATTTGCTTTTAAGGTCACTTTGTCAAATGGGGTTTCACGATTCGGCTACATTAGTGTTTAAGTATATGAAAGCTGATGGCTTTTTACTAGATGGTTCGATTTTGGAAAGTGTAGTATTAGCACTTGCAAATGCGGGCAAGTTTGGTATTGCCAAAGAAATTTTGATTTCTCAAGCTGAGTTAGGTAGTGACGAAGGTAGTTTTGTTGTTCGACCTTTTGTACATAATAGCCTTTTGAGTTTGTTAATGAAGCGAAATCAGGTAGATGAGGCTGTTGATTTTTTTAAAGATCACATTTTGAGGTCGGAGAGATTGTTTCCAGACACCTGCACTTTTAACATTGTGATTCGTGGGCTTTGTCGAGTTGGAGGAGTTGATAAGGCATTTGAGTTTTTCAATGACATGGGAAGTTTTGATTGTTTCCCTGATCTTGTTACGTATAACACTCTTATAAACGGGTTATGCGGTGTTGGTCAAGTGGACAGGGCGCGAAGTTTGTTAAGAAGTCTTGAGTTACAAGATGGATATTCACCTGATGTTGTGACATATACGTCTGTTATCTCTGGTTACTGCAAGTTGGGCAGGATGGATGACGCTATAAATCTGATGGATGAAATGATTACTTATGGTATTACTCCGACTATGGTTACTTTTAACATTCTCATTAATGGTTTTGGGAAGATAGGAGACATGTTTTCAGCTCAAAATATGTACGAGAGAATGTGTGCTTTTGGTTGCCCTCCTGATGTTGTTACCTTCACTTCTCTCATTGACGGCCATTGTCGGACTGGAGACTTAGACCAGGGCTTAAGGCTCTGGGATGAAATGAACACCAGAAATTTGTGGCCTAACTTATATACATTCTCTGTTCTTATCGGTGCTTTGAGCAGGGAGAATAGGCTAAATGAAGCTCGGGAATTATTGAGGCAATTGATATTGAGGGATGATATTGTCCCCCAACCATTTGTATACAACCCTGTGCTTGATGGGTTTTGCAAGGCTGGTAATTTGAACGAAGCAAATGTGATTGCAGCAGAAATGGAGAGCAAAGGGTGTTGCCATGATAAATTCACCTTTACCATTCTCATTCTCGGGCATTGCATGAAAGGAAGAATGCTTGAAGCTATGGCAATTTATGATAAGATGATGTCATTGGGTTGTGCCCCCGATGATATCACGGTAAGTTGTTTGACTTCATGCCTTTTAAAAGCTGGCATGGCAAAGGAAGCTTATAAAGTAAGGCTCACTTCACCAAAGGACTTGCATTCGGATTTATCATCTTCAAAGCAATCTGTACCATTCAGGACAAGATTGGATATCCCAGTGGCTGTTTAATTAAAATTTTTATTTGGTTCCTTTAGCATCGCTAAAGAAACATGCGGGTCTTTGTTCCTTTGAAGTGCTTCAGTACTCAAGGAAGATTGCTTCAGCAGTTTCTATCAAGAACTCAAGCAACATGATCATTATCCTTTCTTTAAGGTGAGAAGCTCCTCCATTTTGTTTTTCTCTGGTAGATTTTTTCTTTGTGGTAAGTTCAGGTGTGTCGTTTATGGAAAATAATGGGAAGGAACCCTTTAGCTTACAAACTTATAAGACATGCATTTCTAAAAGTTGTAGTTCCTTAAACCGTTAATGAAAAAAAATTGTTTGTTGCATAAGCTTCCTATTCACCATATCTTATCTGAATTCATAATTAGTGTGAGAAGCATTACATTTCCCTCTTAACTTTTTTTTTCTGGTTATATGATCCTCCAAGATCCCTCTGTTTGAGAAAAGAAAAAAGACCAAAGAAATAAATAAAAGAAAAATAATAAAAGAAGGCGCCTCCTACCTACCTTTCGTCTCATAAGTTTACTTGGTCAATCTTGTGACAAGTGTCAGTATGTGATGACTACCACTATGTCATAAAAAAGTCTGATAGGGTTCCATCACCAGGACCGGGTTTTCGAAGATATCTGTAACTATCAGAACCTTTAGGATTGTACATGAAACTCGTACCTCTTTTTTCAAATAATGGGAAACTGCCAACGGAAATCAGCTACAATGCCGTGGAATAGTGTAATAATTGGAGGGAAAGATTGTACAGTTTATCAAGTTTGAACTTACAAGAAATTGAATTGGGGCATTATGGGAAGAGTAAGCTTTGCGCTAGCTGCTAAGACGTCTAGTAAAAAGTATTTTCATTTAAAACAATGCTTTATTTATTTTAAGTATTCTGAGCAATGTTTGTACTACTTTGTCAAGCTTTATGCATTATTGTTCCAATATTATTAGTGATGTGAAAGGATGTGAGGACCAGTATATGTCTACATATTTTTATCTCACTTTCTTCAAATGAAAGGGCTTCGTTTGGTAGACTCTTAAAGCTGCTGAGAAAGCACGTCTTTTTGTGCATCTTCAAGTTCTTTAGGGAGGTTCAACTAGAGTATGAGTTGGAGAGTATTGAATTTGTTCTTTTATTTCTCAATTTGACTGTGTGCACTCTTTTTGGTAACAGTTGCTAGGAGTTGCCCTGCACATTGAACCCATGTTGGCATCTTTGACAATTCTGGTCGGCATCCTTGATGCTAGGTAAGCTTAAGCTTCTGCCTTTGAGTACTTCATAAGCTGGTGAACCAATTGACACTGCTGACGAAAATTCATAAAATAATTGAAAGTACTACAACTATATCATCCTCTTGATTTACTCCAATCCTGTAAGCATTCAGCTGGTCTTCCAAAATCTGTAAAACAGCTCTCTAAAATCACTCGTATTTTAAGTTCAAATCTGCCAGCTTTATAGATTTTATCTGTACTTAAGTTCTTTATTTATCATTTACCATTAAAATGAGTTACATATGGCTGCAGTTGGGCATAGAACTTATTTTGTTACCAAAGTTTTGAACTTTAACACGGGAAATTGATAATGAAGTCTCTCTTTCATCTCTGGGTTAAAGCTCAAGCAGATTAAATTTGATATGATCCAATAATATATTGTGTAGCCGTAGAATTGTAAAATTATAGGAACCTCTATGACTGTTAGAATCTATTATCCCACCTTTCACATGCCCCTTTCATATGTCGCACCCAGTAACCTTTTAAGGCCCATCTCCTTCTTGTTTTGACCAAAGTACCAACAGCAATAGGGGAACCGTTATCTAAGGTTGATAGAGGGCATATAAGTCCACCTTGTCTTTGATATGCGTCTATTCTGCTTGGTGATGTATCAACTAAAAGTGGCTTCAATTTATGTTTATTTTCAGCTTAACACCTTTATAAAAAATTTATGTTTAGTTTTCAGCTATTATATTACCTTTATCAACAAAGAATTTTATGTTTAGTTTTCAGCTTTTGTGAGTTACCACCTCTCAGATATCCTGTATTCTTCAATTCAAGCATGTGAATCTAGAGCACCGGATACACTAACTTTGTCAACTGTTATTTATTTCATTTTTCTTTACTTTTCTGTTGTTTATAGAAATAGTTGATGTCTTCATATCTCCGTTGGCCTCTTGTCATTATCCTTCTTCTGGAATATGCACTAGCGGCATATTTGTGTCTGTATTACTCAACCTTGCCAATTTTCTTCCTATCTGTATTTTGGGTACTAGAATTTGCTTGCTTCATTACTACACTGTTTGTGTAGACAATTTTGTGTTCAAATATAGTTGGTCTTTTTCCCCCTGAATCTCAATGTTGTTGCTGCCTGCATTTCATGCTGGCATCATTCTATATTTCCTCCATTTATTTGGACAACCTCAGGGTTCTGCAGCACTTGCCATCTTGACTTCATTCTTGTTCCATAGCTGTTTCTTTCAGGTTCCCTTTACAACAAGATCTTCAAAAGTTAACCTGTTTTCAGAATACTTTCTTCACAAACTGCGGCTATGTAAGTACCTTTCTGGAGCCACTTTTTGTTTTTTTCCCCACAAATATTTGATAGGAAGTTAGGAACTTTCTTTACATGTGAAAACGCAATTCAAGTGTTCTTGCCGACGAAAAATGTGAAATTACTACTGGAACTAGTCCTTTCAGAACATCTAGGTCGGGATATTTGCTTACAACTTTTATGTTGGACCAGTAAACTAATAGTGTGAGATGTAGGCAAAAAAACAAAAAAAAAATCCTGATAAAAGATATTTGTCTACATCTCCCTCAATTAGTTCCAACTGGTATAACATAAAGACTTTCTGGTTATCCAAGTGCTAATGTTGCTGATCCTTTATCATTCTCAATGCGTGCAAAAGTTCTCAATCAATGATGTTTCCAGGAAGTTTATGAAAACAAGTTGAACGAGTCTCACACAACCTTTAGTGCTGTTTACTGTTTTAATTGAATCTACTATAATGTTACCCACCTATTGAATGCAATGTCTTCTAGTGCTGATGGACTTAATTAGTTGCCATTGAAAAATTTGTGACAGTGGGTTTTTGGATACATTAATACATTGAGAATTTCTTTTGTTCTTTGGTCAACAACAACAACAACAACATACCCAGTAAAATCCCACTAGTGGGGTTTGGTGAGAGTAGAGTGTACGCAAACCCTATCCCTACCCCTACCCCGAAAGGGTAGAGAGGAAAAAAAAATAAAAATTCTTTTTTCTTTGGTCTTCATGGAGCATGTTTCTTATGCCTTACTATTTACTGTATTTATTTTATCGTTTTCTTCTTTTAAAGATACGTGCCTTTGTGTTCTAGGTCTCCTTTAAGTACGCCGTACTTGTATCAATGCCTAACAGACACTATATTCAAACCCTTCAGGTGGACACACGAAGGTTGGGTCGAGGAAGGAAGATTGGGTGGTGGAAGAAAGTGTACTATCCTCAGTCCTGAAGCCATGGGATTCCATTGTTTAATAAACATCAAGGTTCAAGGGACAAACATCTCATTAATGCCTAACAAAGACAAACTACATTCAAGCTGTTCAGGTGGAGGCACAAATTGACTAGGTTGCAGAGGAAATTGTGTTATGCTCATCCCTGAAGCAATGTGAATTCATTTGCAAAGGGTTAATTCACTATCGAGATTCAAGGGAGCATAACGTATGCACTACAGGCTAAGATTAAAAAAAGTTTATCTGCCTTCAAGCGTACATTGATGTGATGACAAGTTTACTGTGCAATTTGTGGATCTTGTTACCGCTTCAGTCCCTATAATGTACATCTGAGACGCAATGCACGAGTCTCAGAATGCGTCCTTGTCTTTGATGTATGTTGTACCATAGTGGCATATTTTGCTATGATATATATCAATATTATTTTCAGCCAGCGTTGCTCTTTAGTTTAGTAACTTTTATTACCACTTAGCTACCCACAAAAACTACGACCAGGAGGGGAAAAACAATGATGGAACTTGTTACTTAATATTTTATCCTTGTGAAGAAAGTATCGAGCATCAGGAAAAACACATACTCCCTCCGTTCCAATTTATGTGAACCTGTTTGACTGGGGACGAAGTTTAAGAAAAAATGAAACATTTGAAATTTATGGTCCTAAACAAGTTAAAAAGGGGGCCAGAGTATTTGTGTGGTTATAAAAGCTTTTCATTAAGGGTAAAATTGTAAATTTAAGCTAAATTGTTTCCAAATTTAGAAAGGGGTCATTCTTTTTGGAACGTACCAAAAAGGAAATAGGTTAATATAATTTTTTCAGTTTTAATTTTTTGATTTATCGGTTTAAAGGTTCAAAATTTTATAAGTGCCAAAATTATGAGTTCGGAGGTTTATGTGTTTGGAAGTTTACGGGTTTGAAATTCCGCGGTTCGAAAGTTTATGAAATTTGTGGGTCCGGAAGGTTGTTGGTTTGAAAGTTTATAACTTTATGTTTATTATATCTAAATTATTTATGAATACTCTTGAAAAGTCATTTTTCTTTTGTGTACCAAATATCGGAAAATGAATAAGATTACTACTTATTTTTCAAGAAAATATTTTTTATACCAAACACACCCTTTAAGAGTGAACTTTTGAAGTAGTAAGGATACGCTTGTGTTAGTGATGGACTGAGCTGGGAGTTAGTTAATTGAGGAGGCATTAAAAGGATTGGGTTTCCAGAGTGCTTTATTCAACTGGTGATGACCTGCATTATATCCACCAAATTTACAATCAAGGTGTATGGAGAAGGACATGGGTACTACGATAGGGGGATCCAATGTCCCGTTTATTATATGTGTTAGTGATGGAGTACTTATCCAGAGTACTGAAAAAGATGAGAATTTCATATTTCATCCTATGTGTAAAGCTGCCAAACCGACACATATAATCTTTGCTGATGATTTGACGATATTCTGTAAAGGGGACACAAGTTCTGTTACTAGAGTTAAGAAGCACTAGCTCATTTTAGTGAGGTCACTGGATTGGTAGCTAAATCAAGATAAATCCTGCATGTTTGTGGCAGGCGTTGAAGAAGACACAAAGGTACAACTGTTAAACATAACAGGTTTTTTATTGGGAACATTACCAATAAGTACTTAGAGTTGCCACTCTCATCTAAGAAGTGGAGCAAGATGGAATGCCATCAATTTTCCATCAATTTGTAGAGAATCGCCACCAGAATCAACAATGCATACTCCAAGAATCTATCCTATGCAGGACGGTTACAAATTATAAATGTATTGTTGTTTTCAGTATATAATTTCTGGGGGCAGTACTTATATTGCCTCAAAGTATATTGAAGGAGGTGGATAGAAAATGCAGGGAATATCTATGGAGGAATTCAGAGGTAAAAAGGAAAGTGGCACTAGTCTCGTGGGAAAAGCTGTATACCTAAGAAATATGGTGGTTTAAATATCAAAAGTTGTAGAAAATGGAATGTGGCTTCAGTTGGTAAGTTGATCTGGCTGCTTGAAAAAAAGAACATATTATGGATGAGATGAGTTCATGATCTTTATATGAGAGGTGAACAAAGCATTTGGAATCACAATTCACCGCTTGATTGCAGCTAGGGTTGGCAAACTAGCGGGTCGGCTCGAAAACGGATAAATTATCCAACCCGGCCCATATTTAATACGGATAAAAAACGGATTAACCGGCGGATAATATGTGTAATCATATTATCTATGGCTTCTTGAACGTGATCACCTTTGGGAAAATTCCTATTCTCCCAAACTTGAGGAATCCCCCAAATATGAAAGTTAAACTCCTTAGTTATACATTGGTTATATATTTTCTAAATGGATAATATGGTTCTTATATATCCATATTTGACCCATTTTTAATAAGTTCATTATCCAATCCATTTTTCAGTGGATAATATGGATGGTTAACTATTTTCTTTTAGCCATTTTGCCACCCCTAATTGCAGCTGATATCGGAAGAAACCGAATTCAGTCAATACAGATATGTTAGCTTGGTATAACAATGGCACTTATCGCTTGACACCTAATGGAAGGTATTCTGTTACTAGTAGCTACAATGCCATCCTGGGAGGACTACAGAAGCTTGGGGTAACATATTTAATTTGGAACTCCGTAATGCTACCAAGGCACAGGATTATCATATGGCTAGCCAACCAGGATAAACTACTGACAAAGGAAACATAGCAAGATTGCAGATACCAATTGATAACAATCTATGTAGTCTATGTGATGAGGAAAAGGAAGAAACTCAACTCCATCTATTCTCAGAATGCAAATGGATAACTGACTTAAGGGAGGAGCTAGAAAACTGGTCTGGAATTAATATGCAGAAGACATGGATCTCTCAAAACTTGTTATGGTTTAAAAGAAGACACTGGAGTCAAGTCAAGAAGGAAGTTATAACTGCCATTTGGGGAGCTATGATTTACGACACTTGGAGAGCAAGGAGTCTTAAACAATTCAAGGATGCAATTGTACATATAGGGATAGTAGTAACACAGATTAAACAGGAAATAAAAGAGAGGATAGACCACATGAAGTGTTCAAAGAGAGCCCATAGAAGTATTTTGATTCAAAATTTTTTGTAACTATTATGTTCTGTCAGAGGGTTGGAATATGTTAACACCCTTCCTAGAATGTGGTTAAATATTTCAAGGGCTCTTTAGGTGTATCAATTTTGTTGGTTTACGATAACATATTCACAGTTATTACCAAAAAAAAGGATACACTTGTGTTGGGAACAATTTGATGCTTAAATTATCATCATAAATTAACCACCTAAGTTAGAAATTTCACTTTCACATAAAATTATCCCATTTCCCCTTCTTGGTATTTATGGACCAGCCCACTACGGCACTACCTACTCATAACGAAAAGAAAAAAAAAATACGGTTTCCATTTTAATATCTCTATTCAAGGATATGACTTAATGGTTAATGAAATAAATAAATCTAATAAGAGACTATATATAAAAAGATATTCAATATGTGATTCCTTGTCGATAGATAAAGTTACTTGATTTCTGTACTGATAAAAGGTAGCACACTGGAATAGTTAGTCGAATTGCGGCCTGCGGGCAAGTTAACCTATAGTCATCCTAGGTGATCTGGACTCATGAGTTGCGTGAACATAGAGTTGTGAAGTTTAGTTCAAATAGCTTACGGTTTAAACTTAAATGGGTTTACGTAGAGCAAAAGGTATTACGGGATGACCAAAGGAACTGCGTAAATGACAACCTTGTCCCTCAAAAAATGTCTGAAACTAGCGATTACTTAATCAGTTATATTTTAAATTAAAAAGAGAGAGTCAAAGATATTTTCGTCATTCCATCTAGATTACCCACCTGAGGAATACAAATACCCCACAAAACAAAATTCTTACCCCTTCCCCGCAAACCAAACACCGACTATAACAATATCTCTATCTCCATAAATAAATGAAGAAATCAGCAATATCAACGGTGAAAAATAGAGGAATCCAAACCGAACCGGAGAAGCTGACGGAGCCGGAGATGAACGCGGCCTTGCAGCTTATTCAGCTCAGCGGCGATTCCGATAGCAGCGCCCGTGACATTGATCATACCGCCGGCGACAGTTGGAGAATAGTGATCGCGGTAAAGGAGCACGGCGAAGAAGAAAGCGTTGGTGACACGGCGGAGGTATCATCAACAGCCGTCAATATGGAAGAGACTTTCGATGAAGCTTTTCCCCCTAAGAAAAGGAAGTTTCGATCCATCTCCGCTCTTTATCAGGTTACAAAACCTTTGATCCTTAAGAATAAGCATCGTAAGTTTAAATCCAGGTACTAAATACATATATTTGCCCCCTAAAAAAAAAGTAAGGAAAAAGAGATGTAAAATATTTTGTGTATACTCTAACAATATCAATAAATGTTGACAAGTACTTGTATTGTAGATATTTTTGATGTAGTATATAGGGTTATTATCCTTTAGGCTTTAACTAACTGAATGTTCATCTGTGCTTTTGTTTCTTTGGTTGGATCGGGGTTTAGGGGGAGGGGGTGGTGTGGGGCGGGGGAGTCAAATGGGGGAGATTTCTCATGTGTTCGATCTAGTATATTCTTAAGCTTGCAGTTTGAACAAACGTTCTGGCAAATAAAATCAAAATACTTGAAGGTTAATTTGAATTGCATGTGTTATTGATTTGAAAATTAGTTTAATGTTGATTATTATAGTACGCTACATGAATTAAAAGTCAGTCCTAGAGGCATATGTAAATTTGGACGACGTTCAAGAAATTATATTGATCAGACAACAATTGTATCAAGTTGGTTTATTCTTTTATTGTGCTTTGGTCTTTTTATCCGTATATATGTTCTTTCTTTTAATTTGTGGTTGGAGTTTTGAGTTTAATTTGCTCAAGAGTATAATGATCCGTTTCATATAGCTCACTTTTTTCTCAATTCATGTCTGCCCGCAACGCATCTTCTAGAATTTTTAAAAGCTAAGGCGTACATTTAATTTGTAGGTATTATGATCATTTAATATGATTCAATTTCTAGTTTTGCGACTCGATCACTCTTGGTTTTCATTCACTACTAGCTAGCCAAACATGCATAATACATTCTAAAGTTGGGAGCATCTAACAAGTTCTTGCCACACGAGGAATCATACGTCTCGGTAGGATGCAATATCTTTCATTCATATTCCAACACCTTAAGTGACACCCTAGAATATTTTATTTTGATAGTATAATTTTTGAATAGTTCTCCAATTATCTCGATGTAGAGAAAATAACGCATTTTATGTTCTCATCCTATATTTATTCACCTTTCGAGTAGAGCTATGAGGTACTTATGTTAGTGTGAGGTAGTACTTATATGATGGAATAAGCTGGCTAGGACATTAATGTTTTGTTTTGTTTTGTTTTTGCTTTTCGGGCATAAATCGTGG